ATAGAATTAATAAAGTATTTATATTGCTTCTTAGTACAAAAATAAACATAAGGAGATATAAAGACGAAAATAAAGTGGAAAAATATATTCTCACTTCATTTCTTTTACTATCTGACAAATGTATGATTAATTTCTCGACAAAAACTTTTAAGAGATTTCAGATTCATAATTCTGCGCGTGTAATTAAATCTTATTCATAAGTATATATTTACTAATGTAAATATATACTTATGAATAGATTTTTTTATAGAACAAAGGTGAAAATCGAGCACACAGTCCACCTAATCGTTGTAACAGGAATGGGTAGGCTTGACCGGGGATAGACGCTCCCTCAGAGAATACCATTGTAAAATAACAACTCAATGCTGCTGTGTTTCTTGTGGTGAGTGTAAAGAACCAGAGATACTATTTTACTGGAAAGAAGGCATTCTGTCTTAGTCCTCAGGGTTAAGATAATAAAAATGATTTCAAATGCATGTGAATTCGCGTACATCCGCATTGGCAAAGCGCACCGGTTTCCTTTCCCTAAAACTTCAAAATATAATATCTCTTAGATGAGAGGCCTGTGCCCAACAGTGTGATATATACATAGAGGCTGTAACTTTTATTTCTCCTTATAGCCATTGGAACCGAACAGTTGCGCAAAACAAAAATAGTTGACTCTTAGCCCTGTATGGGTTGTTAATTCACGTGTCTTCGTGGACCGATTTTAGGTCATTGAGGACAGTGGCTACGGATACTACGATTACAGTGACGCGTTATCATGCAAGGTGCACCTTCTATTCCCTCAGATGAATAAATCAATGGGACAGCAATCCAACACGATCGGTCTCTCTCCGGTAATCTCTATTAGGCATAAGACCAAGGATTTTTAATTTCCAAGGCACGGGGGTAAAACCAGTGTTTTAGTTGACAGTTCAACTTGATCACTTCGGGCTGCTAGTGGGAATTACGTGATTAATAGATTTTGACGGCTTCGTGGTGCAATGACTTACTTGAGTTACATCGCTGAGGGTCACGTGTGCGTATCTCAAACGGAAAAAAAGTTGTTCGCCTTACAAATAAATATTCCGGGTCTGGATGTTTGTCCTTTTTTAATTTATGTGTCCATACTGTTTCCAAGATGCAGGAGAAAATTCTTGTGTAAGCCTAGTACACTAGGGTAACGTTTTTTTAAGTAAAAAAATATTTTGGACCGACCATACGATCAGCAATGGCGTTATATTCTATGTAATAAATTTAAAATTAATAAACGATACAATTATTCATATTTTCGCAATTTTGTCGTAATTTTTAATACTAAAGAGCTATTTTTCAAATTTTATTAGATTATAGTAGTAGTTAAGAAGTTAGAGAGTTCATATGATGAGTTAAACGCCACACTTTAAATTTTACCGTCCCTTGCTATACCTCCCTTGCTACGCCTGTATACTATAAAGTCGTACTAATAAAAATTTATTTAATAATCATTATTACTGGAAATATTTCTAAGAAGTCATGACGATTTAGACGACACTTTAAGTGCATCTTGCACCTCCGTAGAACAAATGTAATTATTCGAAGTCTCGTGAACAAGGTTCTTCAATTATCCAAGAACTTGACGCTGCTGTACGATGTAAATGAAATTTCTTTTGTTTAATGTTCCAAGTTCTCAAACAATTCAGGGCAGCCAAGTGTCAATTATTCCAGTTGTTCATTTCATCCTATTTAAAGTGACACAATCTCGTGATTATTTGTGGGATTACCATGTGGGCATTATTATTTGGTTGTAGATATTTTAATTCATTTTATCAACTTTCTATATTAAGGAAGTTATTCTAAAGATTTTTAGACCATTTTCACAGGAACAAGACATTTCATTTCAGTACTCACGGGTGACAACGTATCTGCATTTTGATTCTTAGCTGAGAATAAACGTTGGCCACAGAATCTACTTTCTGTCAGGTAGAGTATGTGCTCCTTTGTCACCCTTATTTTGTGAAAAAGTCTGCACGTTTTTAAATCTCTGATCTGTCCCAGTAGTAGAATTATTGCATATAATATGATGCATACGTTATAAAAAATATTTAGTTATAAATTGAAAACGTGTTACACATTTCTGGACACTGGAATACAAAAGTGATAAGTCTCTCAATACGCTTAATTCACACTCGAAAGATAAATTCTACTTATCCATAAGCTCTGTAGATGGAATGCTGGTAAACTCAATTTTTTTGTTTTTTGTATAGAATAAGCGTTTATGTAGTTTTCGTTTTTAGTTTTAAAAATATTTTCATGACTGTTATATTTATATTTTTACTATCTTCATATTTTTGTATAACTGTTGCGAACGATATCATTCGTACGCAAAAAAAAAAAAGCCAACGTGAGTGGAGCCGCAGAAAAATAGCTGGTTCTTGCATATATGTATATATACATAATTAACTGCTCTGAAACGACTCTATTGAAAGCGTTTTAATTTTCAAGTTCATCTAATTATACAAATTCGGCGTTAGTAAAAATATAACGCAACAGATGGATGGCGCAAAATACAAGATTCAATTAGTAACAAAACTTACTTTAAATTTTAACAATAATAATACAAGATAATGTTTTATAAAGATAGCAATTCGTGGCATATATTATAAGGTACGCTGGTACGATAGTATTCCGATGACGTTGTTTTCGCCGTCGTTTTTATTATTTTCTCCTAACGCTGAGCAAAGTTCGGTCGCTCATGTCACTCCAGAAAATATTCTGAAGTGGTTGAGGAGATCAAAATTGGTATTGTAGAACGAACCATATACGTGGTTTTATATAAAGCTTTTAAATACGAGGGAAAATTAAATGCTCGCCCGTGGGTACTGCTCAAATTATTCATTAAGTCAAAATTTTCCCGCTTTGCTGCATTTATAGGTCACCGTAATACTGGCGAATTTTTAACACACGTCGGCAGATAGACCAATGTAGATTATAAATCAAAATAATTCGCATCAAAAACAGCTGAACTGAGTTAGGTTAGTGGGTAGGCGCGTATATTATTAGTAGGTAGGCGCGTAGATTATTAGTAGGTAGGCGCGTAGGTAGTTAGGGAGGCGCGTATATTGCGACACGAAAACATTGAGCTCCGTGAATAATTAACCCATAAATGGACAATGTTGTTTTTAAACAACATACTAAACATCACAGATAAAATTAACTTTATTTTATTTTTTTTGTTAATTTTGACAACTAGTTCTTATTTCTGAACGAATTTTGTACTTTTTTTAATGTTGGCACTATCCAATATTTTTATGCATTAAAAATAAATGAATGTCAAATGTCACTTTGAAGAAAACTTTTCTAGTGGCACGAAACTAAGTTTTGAAGCTGTGTTCGGACTTTGATAAAATATAATGTAAGTATATAACATATTTTATTTGCTTGATTATATCTTCAATTACATGTTCATGTTGTAAAACATTGAAAATTACTTGATGCTACTGTCGAATTACGCGAAATCTGGTATGTTGTAGGAAAAATACAATGCGCATTGCCTGCTAAATAAATGCATGTTTGGTGAAGGGTTTTTATTTTGCTTTTCAGCATGCCGCGATTACTAGAAAGCGAAATTACAAAGTATTTAGAAACTCTTGAAGATTCAGAAGATGGCTTAGACGGCTCGGACTCCGAAGTAGAGGATGAAGGTCACTATTATCAAACAGCTCGAGATGTTCTTCAGTACCTTGAAAATAGTGATGAAGGTGAGAATGCCCAGTCTGATGAAGTGGATGCTGATCCTCCTCTCGTAATTGACAACGATCAAAATATGCCAGACCCTCCTATTTTGGAAGCCGGAGAAGCAGTACCCCAGAGTAGATCACAAGGGATTTCTAAGCGACCTCTGGTTTGGCGAAAACGGAATCTTGTTACTGCTGAAGACAGCCTTATTTTTAGGGGGAGAAACTCAGATAACGGAAGCATTGATGTCTTGTAACACGCCGTATGATTTTTTTTTCATTTTATTTTACATCAGATCTAAAAAAGCAAATTGTAGAACAAAGTAACTTATACGCGGCCCAGAAACAAATATCCAATCCTGAAATTATAAATGAAAATATCCTAAATAAATTCCTAGGCATTCTGATTTACACCTCAGTCATAAAATTTCCAAACACCAGGGCTTACTGGAGTGATAAATTTGGTTATGATCACATAAAAAATACGATGCCGTTAAAAAAATTTGAAAAAAATAAGATCCACTCTCCATTTTGCCGACAATACGCTATGCTTACCCAAAGATCATCCAGACTATGACAGGCTATTCAAAATAAGACCTCTTGAGGAAATGCTCAACTGCCAGTTTGGAAAGGTTCCCTTAGACCAAAGGCTTTCCATAGACGAGCAGATGTGTGCAACCAAAATGAGCCATTACATAAAACAATACATGCCCAATAAACCCCACAAGTGGGGGTTCAAATTATATCTCATCTGCAGTCTACAAGGATATGCTCATAGATTTGAGGTTTACAGTGGAGGGGGCTCCAAAAATAACATCTTACCTGGTGAGCCAGATTTGGGAGAGTCTGGAAATACAGTCGTCAGGTTAGCTAGAATGGTACCACGCAATGTGAATCACATTATATACTTCGACAACTTCTATACTTCTGTGCCTCTCGTCACCTATTTAGCTAAGGAAGGAATTTTCTCACTGGGAACAGTAAGAGTAAACCGATTGAGAAACTGCAAATTGCCTGACAAAAACACTATAATGAAAAAGAACGTACCCAGAGGATTCTATGAGGAAAACGTGGCGACTGTGGATGATATTGACGTAAGTGCTGTTGTGTGGAAAGATAACAAGCCCGTTAACCTTCTTTCCACTTACGTAGGAGCAGAACCAGCAACCACAGTCACGCGCTTTGATAAATCGAAGAAAGAGAGAGTTGCTATTCCATGCCCCAAAGTCATCAAGGAGTACAATGCTCACATGGGGGGGCGTGGACTTATTAGATTCATTTATAGGTCGTTATCACATCACAATGAAGAGCCGCAAGTGGACCATGCGCTTATTTTATCATTTCCTGGACCTCGCAGTTATAAATTCATGGGTTATGTTCAAGAAGGTAAATAATATAAAAGGATATGATCAACTTCTCAATTTGGGTACATTTAGACTAGAACTTGCCGAAACCCTCTGCAAATTGGGTCTACCTGCAAATGGCGCTAAACGTGGTCGACCTAGTGGGAGCACAATACAAAGAGAACTTGTAATGAAGAAGTTCCGAGGACCAGCTCAAGCAATTCCTTTGAAAGACGTCAGATTGGATCAGACATGTCATTGGGCAGTTTGGCTGGATAAGCAGCAGAGGTGCAAATTCCCGAAATGTTCAGGATTTACGTTCAAAATGTGCCAAAAATGTCGTGTATCTTTATGTGATACGAAAAAAAGCAATTGTTTTTATAAATATCATAATTTAGAATAAATAAACACATTTCAAAAACAATATCCACTCTTATTTTACCCATACTTGCAAAATGTCATTGAATGCGCAATGTAGTTTATAAACAACACTCACATTATTGCAAGAAAAAAAATAGTAAATTCATGTCTAGATTTTTTTACTCATTTTTCCTAGACAGTAATACATGTCTATTATACAAATATATTTTTTTAAAACGTAAAAAAAAATCGTCCATTTAAGGATTAATTTTAAAAATAGTAAATCCAAATATTTCAACATTGAAATATGATTGTGACAAAATTCAAATGTTTTTATTCAACTTATAGTAATCTAAACTTAAAGCGAACTAGATAGGGTGAAATACCGAGTGCAGTTATTAATAATCTGAAAACTATTAAGTAATAATAAAATATTGAAACTATTAAATAAACATTATAAAACTTCATTAATTTAGAAAGTTATTAAGTGAAAAAAGAAAACTGTGCTATAATAATTGTGAATCTTTTATACTTTTATGTGAACATTTTCAAATCCAGTTACCTATTTTCTCAACCGCCATATAAGTTCTAATATTGAACTTTTGTTACTGATAGGTCAGAGTTGAAGCTACTAACGCCATCTATTGAAACTTACTTGAATCACATAACACCAAAAGCCTACTGTTACAACTTGACAATCGATTACTATTTTGCTTGATTGTTAGAGAGCGGTAAAAGCGCACACTTTTACGATCGAACATTTGTAACCTATTGCACCATCTACTAGATTAATTCGAAAACTCAACATTATACATCGAACAAAAAGCAGGACACCAAAAACCGCTACTTACTTCCCATATCCGACACACACCACAAGAGGGCGGCATAAGAATTATTTAGGAAGAAATACTTTGCAATTACTGACATAGCCCATCGGATTAGTAAGCTGAAGTGGCAATTCGCCGGCCATATAGCTCGAAGAACCGATAACCGATGGGGAAGAAAGGTTCTCGAGTGGCAGCCTCGTACCGGTAGGCGTAGTGTAGGGCGACCCCCACTAGATGGAGTGACGACCTGGTAAGATATACAGGAAGTCGATGGATGCAGGTGGCTCAGGACCGTGCTTTGTGGCATTACTTGGGGGAGGCCTATGTTCAGCAGTGGACTTGTGAAGGGCTGTAATGATGATGATGATGATGACTTTGCAATTATGTCGACTAACTGTGCTGGCTGTAATCAAATAATAAATAATAAAAAAATACATAATTTAGTTAACGATAAAAAATATGCTATAAGAATATTACTATGTATGTCATATGTCAAAACCATAGGATACAGTGCATTATAACATATTACTAAATAAATTATATGACATAGGAAACAGAGGCCCGTGCTATAATCTGTTAAAATCATATTTACACAGTAGAATGCAAACATTAGAACTTGAGTACTTTAATGACAAAGTACACAAAATTGCAAAAAAATTAGATCCGACCCTAGCACTCTGCCTCAATACCTCAAGGCAGAGTGGTAGGGTGTCTTATGTTTATAATTTACATTAATGACTTTGCAGAGGCTCTGAAGGAATACTGTATCATGTTCGCGGACGATATTTCTATTCTTATATCAAGCCAAAATCCAATGAATCTAACAGAAAAAATTAAAAATTTATTATTAAAAACAACGGTCTGGATAACTAAACATAACTTGCGGATAAACTTATCAAAAACTAAAATAATGTCTTTTCACCCATATCAACATGTACATACAATTAAGATTTTTATGTTTTTGGTTAGGAAATGTTCTGATCTATCTGATTAATGTAAAAATCATTAGGTAATTGACTTACTTTTTTCATAGTCGAAAATGTGAAAAAGTAACCGATTTTTTTTACATTTTCTTTTTTTCTAAGTCTTTTTAGGATCTAAATACAATTTTGCAGTTAAAAGTTTGCTTTTATTTTATTACGCGTATCTTTATCTATCCAATGAAATATCTTTTAAGAATGTAGGACTTCTATATCGGTGAAGATTGTAATTTTAATGCGCGGGGTCGAGGTGGTGACACTGAAAAATTTAAATGGCTGCCATTTAAATACAGCTAGGTCTAAATGAGATTTGAGACACGATTTGTCGATGAAATTGATTATATTTTATAGCATTAAAAGCTCCGACACCGGTAACCGGACACGTATAATTATTTAAGAATAATAATAATAAAACAAAACAAATGTTCCTCTTACATAATATTGCTATGCCCATCAGAGTCTATAGATACCATAAAACTATGTAACACCTTTTGTAACCTATGGAATGCAAGTTATTGAGTATTTAGTTAATGGTGCAAATAAAATCTGAGAGATCACTATATCTTTGTGCTATTTGCTGTAAAGACTATCAGTCCGTGGGGTCTACGTGCGATCAAGTTCCTGTAGGAACTGAATCCGCGGCTAGTAGTGGCCGTTGGTGACAAGAGGACTGGTTCTTTACCCTCTCAAATGGTTTTCGTTCATTGTTGTAATGCAGGTAGCGTTTTTGGAACTACATCGCGAGGAGGAAGACTATATGATAGTTTTGGTTTTTGGTTGGGTAGAGCTACGCTGTTGGTTGTAGCAACAACGACCGGGGAAGAACTCACAGAATACCAGCGTGAAATAGAAGCTTTAGGCTGCTGTTTCCTGGCTGCTTCCGTATGGTGAGTATAGAGAACCACAGACCCTTTGTACTGGAAACAAGACATTCCATCTTAATCTCTCTCTCTCTCTAAATTTGATTCTCAATCGAAGACAGATGTAGATGTCTTGCTTAACATGCAACAAACATATATAGGAGGTGAGTTGCAAAACTACTAGAACTTTGCGATCACATTATTGATTAAAAAACTTTCTTCCTACCAATACTAAGATTTTACTTGTCCAGTCACTTACTCTACCGATATATTCTATTGTTCCGCCCTTTTCGAAGACCCTTTGTCATGTCCTATTAAAAATCCTTAAATTCGCTAAAAAAATTTGTGGGTCACTCATGGGCAAAAAAAACTCTTTCTCAAGTTGAACCAAACTGCACACGGTGTGCAAATTAGATAATAGATTAAGATAATAGATTAATAATATAATTAGATAAAATCGGTTAAGTAGTTTCGGAGCCAACGCGGACAAACAACGTGACACTTAACTTATATATATATATATATATATATATATATATATATATATATATATATATATATATATATATATATATATTATTAGATTTTAAAAGTTCTATATTTGTTTCATGAAAAGTTTATTAATTTTTATTACTAATAACCAAATGCACACCTTATTATATTTTATTTATTATACATCCTTGTAAGTGGCTTGCCGGCAGATTTTTTTAACGAAATGTATCACCCTTTTACAAACTCTTCATCGTGATGTGTCCTCTCCGTTTTTTTGTGTGTACATAAATTAAACGAAATTGACAACATGGCATTGTAAGCAGTAGATAACATCGAAGTGGAAAGAATTAAAAATGCTTAAAATTAAACGAAAAAAACTTTTAAAATACGCGGGATTCTATTTACATAAACGAATGAAAGAATCTTCACGACAGACTCGAAGGAAACAATATTTATTACATTGCTGCGGACGTTAGACCCGGTTATCTCATTTCCTACTTTCAACTTCCTGAGAGTTCTGTGGGTGTTTAAAATTACAGCTTTCTGCAGCGTTAATATTATACTGACTACTTAATTTGGTGACATATTTTAAGTGCATTGCTTTATTAATAAAATAACTACAGATTCGATATTTATGATAAAATATTCAGGTATTCATGAGAGAGAATGAGAGAGAGAGAGAGAGAGAGAGGCAGAGAACAATGAAATTCGTTTGGAGACGATATTATTATTTCCTATGATTTGTGTCGATATGTGGAATAAAGAAGTTCACTAATATACTGCCGTATCAACATACGTAAATAATAAGTAAATCGGGGGCACGGCAGTGCCCCCGCCAAGTCGAGCGCAAAGCAAACACTGCCGTACCATCCTTTACTGGAACCATTTCGTCCCATTTTCAGGCCCCTATTTGAGAACCTCTGGATAATACCAGAACGCAGACATTTTCGTCATTCAGTAAACTATAATTACATACTTAAAATCCAAAATTTCAAGTCTGTAGGTCATTTAGTTCCGAAGTTAAGCGAAAGCAAAGTTTCGCATTTTAGACACTCACTCACTCACTCATGATCATCAGAATAGAACTAGTACTTCCCATAAACTCAGAAAGCTGAAATTTGGTACAGAGTTAGGGTTTAATGGCCACATAAAGGGAAAACTATAAAAACTAGGATACTCGAACATCTGGAGTACCTGGTGACCCTGATTAGAAAACACAAGAGCCCAACCAAACTATTAGAAGAGATCGACATACCGCCTTTACAAAAAAATATTCAACTTGGTGGGCCGCTTCAAAAATCGAATAGAATGTGCGTTGCGCTGCACTATGCCCAAGTGAGAGTGAACGCGCAATATCATTCTCTGTTTTTCGCACACGTTAATTATTGGACCAAGTGGCTGCGCCTCCTGAGATTTTACGTTTTTATAAAATTTTTCATATCGCAATAGTTTTATGGTTTAATCTTTGTTGCATAAATGCTAGAGATACCTATAGGCGTAATTGCGTATTTATTGTTTGTCTATGTGTAAAAGCTGCAAACCGGCAACACGTGTCCTGATATTAAAATACAGTAGAAGGCATTGTATATACACAGTAATCTATGAAGGCATTTCTGTGTGTGTCTCTGTGTCTTATTATTTAGATAGCTGTGGTCGTTGTAGATGTTTTAATTGTTTAAGGTGTTTCTCTTTATAATTAGTCCTGGTGGAGTATTCTGTTACAAAAATGGGTTTACTGATTTTTTTGGTTATCTATTTTAATTTTGTTTTAGGCTTTTACTATGACATCTAAACTAATCCTTCAAGGATTGAATCGGTAAACACTACAGATGATTTAGCCTCAGATATCATAAATGATTGGCTGCAGGAAGATGATTTACTGGGCGAAGATGAAGAGATTGCCAAAGACGGCGGCTGTGTGTGATCACGACACTGATTTCGAATGCTCCGAGACTGAAGGACAGGATAGTAACTTGAACAACTTACCTTCATCATCGGGTAAAAATCATTTGCAAGTACCTCCTTCGTGGCGTTATAAGAAAATTATCCACATTTTTGGTCATTGTAGATGTTTTAATTGTTTAAGGTTTTTCTCTATATAATTAGTCACAGAAAACTAAAGTTATATTAAATTTTTTCGCTAAACTAATCACCCAAAAGGCAATTTTTTTGTTTTTGAAAAAATATTTTATTTTTTTAGCTTTAATTATGTTTATGAATACAAGATATCATTTTGCAGGAATAGTATTTTACAATGTAGAAAATTTTAAGTGACTGCTTCAAATGATCGAAACTGACTCTAGACTTAACGCTAAATATTTTCTATTATCGCAGTTATTTTAGTGCTCCTGCATTTAAACTTCTTAATAAAATAATACAAGCACATGTACTGTAATGTTAAGTTATGTAGTACCTAGTAAAATAGCTTGTTGAAATGAAAGTAAAAAAGTTTTAAAATGTTCTTTGTTACGATAAATAAAACTTATTTAGACAAGAGATATTTTTTTATTTTTTAAATCATGTAAGAATATGCACTAACTCCCATCGTCCCTTGCGTGTCGCAAGAGGCAATAGAGTGTTGAGCAGCAGATAATAAAAAACAAAAAAAAACTGCGGTGCCAACTTGCTGGCCAACTGTACTGTGGTAAATAACATGGGACTGTTCTGAGGATTGAGGATCGCAGTATCGCGATAACTTTCACCTTCGCGAGTTTTATCTCGACGATTATTTTCGATGAATTCTCTTATTCAGTAAAAACCGTAAATTGACCGTGTAAGAATATCCACCACACCATAATAAATATTATGTAAGTATATATATATATATATATATATATATATATATATATATATATATATATATATATATATATATTTTTCTTAACTTTATTTTTGTAATAAGTATTGAAATTTTAGTTATAAAGTTTGTTATAAAAACTTCTGAGTGAATTCATATATGTCGCGAAATTCAAATTAACGAAGCCGTTAAACAACCAACCTCCAATTAAATTGCTGAATACAAAAGGATAAAAGCGCTTCAATTACGTTAAATTGATCACTGACAACTGTCAGTGTTGATATCGTCAGATGTTTGCCGCACGTCACCGCCGCTCAAATTGTTTCGTTTAATCAACGTTTTGTTTGCGTTAAATACGACATTCATTTATGAAATTAAAACGTAAATGGATACAAGTTGTTTTTCGATTATTTAATGGAAAGAAATTGTCGTTTATTTTGATCAGAGGATATTTCTTATATTTTTAATACTAAATTCTCCTTTTTTGATATATAATACCCGGAATAAAGTATCTGGATAAGATACAAATTAAAATATATTTAATAGAATAATTAAAATTTATTTTTTACGCCCCATTCGTCGGCTCGCAACAGACCACGGCTGGATACGGTTCTCCCTGCAGTAGAAAGAATTTCACATTATTAGTATAATATGTAACGGTATAGTACATAGACCGGAGTTGGCGTATTTCCACGATACAATATTAGGATGAATCAATTAATGAATTTATGTTACTGTACAAAATAAAGCAAAATGATATATATATATATATATATATATATATATATATATATATATATATATATATATAATTTTAATGCAGATAAAATCCGTATAAATAGTTTTATTCAATGTATAGCAGCTTAGTTAAATTGATATGTATGTCGATGATATCATCATTACAATCCACTGCTGAACATAGGCCTCTCCCAAGGAATGCCACAAAGCAGGGTCCTGAGCCACCTGCATCCATCGACTTCCTGCATGTTTTACGAGGTCGTCACCACATATAGATCTAGGGGGGGGGATTTAATTTACTTTGTGAAACTTTCTTCATTCATTCTTTCTACATGACCAATCCACTGAAGCATTCCTTTCTTAATCAGGGAAAAAATATCATCTTTCAAACCACACTTTATCACACTATGTCTTGCCCTGTCATTCAGATTCATCATTTAATATTGTGGGCAGACCTGTCTTATGCTGTTCAGGTGCCATAAGGAACTCAAAGTTTCGAAGCCTATAGAAAATTAAAAAAAATTACAACATCTAAATCTTGAACGAATTAACCACTGGACCCGACATATGAGCGGACATACCTATATCGGTCTTGTCAGTAACCAAGCTATTTTAGGCTTGGTCGTTTGTTTCTATTTGGATTATACCATTCATAACAGTGACTAAAATTGTGGAGTGAGTCAATTTGACATCGACTATTGCTTGACCATGTCGAAAAATATATCGATATTTGACGATATGACCGAATGAATGATGATATTATTTGTACAATACAATAACACTTAAAAATACTTATACATATAACAGTAACCTACAATCTGATGTCATTAAATTTACAATAATATTTTTTATATATAAATAAAAATATTATAAATGCAAAAATTATAATTAGTATCTGTACTAAAAATATTTAAACACATAAATTACACGAATTTTCAGATTTCCCAGTGACCCTTCTCGGAAGAGAAAGTGGGTAGAAGCAGTTCGTAAAGATGAAACCTGGATCCCGACGAAACACAGTGATTTCGATACTGCCTGTTTTAATACTAATGCAAAGAAACAGAAAATGACACCAATGAAGGCAGTCTCAGACAAGGAAAAACCGATACTTCCCTCAAGTGATACCATAGCTATTTGTTAGCACTGCGAACTCGAACTTAGGAAGGGTGTTCAGAATAAAAGACTAAAAAAAAGATTACACAACAGACTTTCTTCTGCCGAAAGTAACAGAAACATTGCTGCACCCTCCGTTGTACGAAGACATTAATTTCCATAAATTTGAAAATGACGACGTGAATCACGTCGAAGAATTAACGAAATCCGTTGCTGAAAAGTATTTAAACATTAGAATTGCTTATATAAGAAAACAAGCGAACACAACAAATTCTAAGAAACACATTTTAAGAAAGATGATACATAATCAGTCGGTAAACCTACTAAAATAATTTAAACTTAACAAATCATTTGACGTTTATCATAACTATAATTGTATAAAGTCTATAAAAATGTCCTGCTTCTTTTATTTTAATTAAAATTTAAATGCTTACCTCACCTTCATTATCCCTTTATTTCCTTTATTTTACAGCTTATTTACGATACGCCTTTTCTTTCTCTATCGTTCGTCGATATATTTTATCGACTACGATCAAGCACTAAAAATAGAGTAAACTTCTACGAATTTCGTATCTGTGTTTACATTAACGTAATAAGATCTCCGTGCGCGTTATTCTCCACTTGGTTGAACGAGTTTTCATACATTTGTGTTTTATGTCGGGTCCAGTGGTTAATTCGTTCAAGATCTAAATGCATACACAGCCTATCAAACTACACTGAACATAGGCCTACCCCATAGAATGCTCCATAAGGGGGATATTTGCCATAGTTGCCACTCTTGGCAGATGGGTTGACAACCGTAGTTTTATTTAAATATTTTTAAATTGTTATTAGAAAGACGCTGATGTCCATCACCTGGTTTGTTTCCTTTTACCGCTTGTTACGACACCTCCGGGACGATATGGGTTGGTGGATATCCTTGCACCGCCACTACACGGCCACGCCAGTGATAAATGGTTAGTTGCTGTAAAAATTACAATATACATATACATAATATACACAATATACAGCGCAGAGCGGTTCGAATCTTCGGCGAACGCGCTCTTTCTGATCAGCTTGACTCACTGGCACTGCGAAGAGATGTTGCATCTCTCTGCGTATTTTATCGCATCTACCACGAGGAGTGCTCTGAGGAATTGTTCGGACTAAATCATTAAAGAAGTTTTCTTCCTCGCACAACTTCCTTGTGGAATCGACTACCACCAGAGATTTTTCCAGACCGATACGACTTAGGAACCTTCAAGAAAAGAGCCTATTCCTTTTTAAAAGGCCGGCAACACATCTGCAATTCCCCTGGTGTTGCAGTACTCATGGGCAGCGGTAATCCATCCATTACCATCAGGTGAGCCGTATGCTCATTTGCCCCCTCAGCAAAAAAAAATATGCTACACACCAATGTGTATCAATGTGTATAATGTGTATAATGCAATGCATTTTCAACGTGTGAAGCAGGAAACCTTAGGCTTTTACCCTCTGTGACCTTAGGTAAAAGATGGAAAAGACTACGAGATGATAAGATACGACTGATGATACGCATTTTTTCACTTATTTATAAACCCCTTTTAAAGTTAAAAATTAAGGCTTAATTAAAATTGTGAAATGAATATAAAATGAAAAATGAAAACACTAAGCTGTCATTATATGGTGATATTATGTGAGAGCGTGGTCCAACCATAATATCAACTGTATGATGTATTTAAAAAACCTGACAGCGTAAAATATTGACTTATAAGACCTTCTATACGATTACACAAGAATTGATCATAGCCTTTTAAAAAGTTTTGAAAATTTATGTGAGAATGTTTATCAACTATAAATCTTAAATGGTCATTCAAAATGAAAAATGATTATAATATTTTTTTGCGTTGCAGTCTTTTAAAAACAATTAAAACAACAGATTTGCGCACAAGAAAGCAACTCAGAAAAATAATTTAACATTATTTTTTAAGGTCCGGTTGACAAGTTCTGAAATAATGGAGGTACATCGTATAGACATACAATGCAGATTGTGTGAATAGAATCCAGGTCTAGAAACGTTTCAAATAATGGTGAGCTATTAATTCCCGGATTGCGGTTTATAAACCTATACGGATATACTATTGTCCGTTGAGGATTTAAGTGATAAGATTAATATCGTTTTATGTTTGCGTTTATTCTAACTACAATTTCATCATATTATTATTTATTATAAATTTATACTTTATATACTATCTTAAAATAGCGGCCTATTGCTGCTGTGTTTCGCATGGTGAGTGTATTGTAACGTAATCCGTTTG